GATCCATTGGTGATTATAAATTTCCTTGCACTGTTAATAATTTTTATTTTTACAAATCATTAATAAATATATGATATAATAATTACAATTTTATCAATAGCTTTCCACATCAGCCAAGACGTAGTATTGTTGATTCGTTCTTTTTTCAAGTGGTTTTATTTCTAGATATATTTCACTAATCGCTTTGAAAGGCGATAATAAGCTGTATGACTTGGTAGGAAAATTGAAATTGAAACCATAAGCGTAATAATTTTCAGTTGATCTTCTGGCTCATTTGCATGATTCTACAAAGGATAGTATGTCCACGGACAATTTAGAAGAATTAATTCGCATTAGTTAAACACGAACATTTTGTTGGATTCCAGCAGAATTGACAACACACTTTATTTTACGAAAACTCGAACAACTTTATTAGGTCGATTAACAATAAGTACTAGACTCTTTCTGAACCGTTCTGAATATTGCGAGGTTTTATTGCTGGAGATAGGTTGAGGTAGGGAAGGTGGTCAAGGGACAGTGTGACCCAGGACGGGTGCGAGGTCCAGGATAAGTAAAAGTCGTCGGTGATCAATCCCGGGCTAGCATTTAACGTGCTACGTCCTCCAGCCTGTTCGCGGCGCAGAAGCTCAACTTCCCGCTGCAGGAGATCCCGTTCCCGTCGCAAGCGTGAACAGGTGGACTGCTTGTCGCTTCTTCCTCTTCGGCCTCCTCCCGTGGTTGTTCACCTTCCTCCTGTATCCTATCCTTTCCTGCCGCAAGTACGTTCCAAATGCCCTCGTCGAACTCCTCCAATCTCAGGATCAACTCTGATTTTGAGCCCGACACAGGTAAATTCCGTACGCGGAGGAACTCCCTCAATTCGCTGAGCGTGTAATTCTTTGCCATGTTACCGGTGATTAGCGTCGCTCGAGTTTTCCACAATATGCGCCAACACGCTGAATCTCTCACTAAACAATGTGCTAACCACGTTGCACCACGACAAACAAACAATTATTACACAATAAGCCAAACAATGTTCACCAATACAATTGTCCACACAATGTCTTAACCACGGAAAAATACGAGTTCTTTAATCCGAACACACAAAAAAAAACAAGTTCTAAATTCAAATAAAATACAAGTCCTTTATCCCACTTCTGAAACTGTAGACTATTCCGGGTTAAGGGGTAAGAAAAATCAATCAGAGGCCGACAACGATTTAACCCCTTGCACTACCGCGAACCTCCGAAAAAGCCGTGCCAAACACGGTCGTCGAAATAGTCACGGGAGGTGCCGAGCGGCGAAGGTCAAGTGGTACAATTTGAAAAACAATACCTTACGACTGAGTTACATAGTCCTACGCTCGTATTTACGTCACGCGATGAAAATCTTTGAAAATTCAAATGAATTTGAATAAAAAACTTGTAAAAATACTTTAATTATTGCACATCATAAAAAATAAATTTTAATATAATATAATAATAGTAGGTAATAATAAACGCGGTAGTAATAGTTTAAATGAAATCAGTGCCATTCACATCAGATCTAAAAATGAAAAACAAAATATAAATAAACAATTAAAAATAAAAAAACAATTAACTTAAAAAATACTTACGAGTCTGAAATTAGTAATCTTGCTTGGTATGATATGTTATAAAACAGTCCGGTACATGCAAGGCCACCTTACATTTTGAGCGCTCCCACGTCGTTTCACTGCGTCGTTTGTGTTTGTAACACACTTTACATGTCTTAGTCGGATGTTGCTTTGCAGGAGTTGGAGGAATATGTTTTGGAAAATGAGCCCAATATTGTGCCTGTAAGCGTATTGGTGTATCATAACCTGCAGATGTCGTGCGCCTTGTATAGTCAGGCCGCTCAACATATTTTAAAAGTGCCTCGACTACATCAATTCTGTAGTTCACATACGATTGCCTTCCTCTAGTGTATAAATTCTACTAAATTTCTCGTTCCAATAATTAATAATTGGTTTGATCTTATGAAGGCGGTTGTTGCTCTGGCCCGCTTCATTATTTGCGAAATGCAAGAATCGTGAGATTTGTGTGAATCTTTTCAACGGCATTATTTTGCCAAATATAGGAGTTTCTATCACTTCCCGCTTAGTCCAATACATTTGGATATTCGGTTTTTTGACTTGTGTCATCAAAATACACAAAGCATAGTACGCCAACATCTCATTCTTGGTGACTGGAAACCAATTGTCATCCACTTTTCTCCTTCTGCCAGTGCCCATTATTTGTTCGGCATAAAGATTCGTCTGCGTAACTACAATGTCCCAGAAATTGTCGTCGAAAAGTATAAAAAATAAATCTAATAATCCGTTACGTGTATTTAATTGGTCTAAAACATATCTGTTGCACCATGCAATTCGGAATATTTCCAAATTTGTTTAGTGTTGACACTTTTTGCAGGAGTTGGAGGAATATGTTTTGGAAAATGAGCCCAATATTGTGCCTGTAAGCGCATTGGTGTATCTTATCCTGCAGATGTCGTGCGCCTTGTATAGTCAGGCTCAACATATTTTAAAAGTGCCTCGGCTACATCAATTCTGTAGTTCACATACGATTGCCTTTTTATGCCAAACCTGGCTCGTTTGGATGGATTAAATTGTTTGTATGCTATGCGACCCACATGATTCGCATCAATGATTCATCGATACTTACATGTTCATCTAGTGTATAAATTCTACTAAATTTCTCGTTCCAATAATTAATAATTGATTTGATCTTATGAAGGCGGTCGTTGCTTTGGCCCGCTTCATTATTTGCGAAATGCAAGAATCGTGAGATTTGTGTGAATCTTTTCAACGGCATTATTTTGCCAAATATAGGAGTTTCTATCACTTCCCGCTTAGTCCAATACATTTGGATATTCGGTTTTTTGACTTGTGTCATCAAAATACACAAAGCATAGTACGCCAACATCTCATTCTTGGTGACTGGAAACCAATTGTCATCCACTTTTCTCCTTCTGCCAGTGCCCATTATTTGTTCGGTATAAAGATTCGTCTGCGTAACTACAATGTCCCAGAAATTGTCGTCGAAAAGTATAAAAAATAAATCTAATAATCCGTTACGTGTATTTAATTGGTCTAAAACATAATCTGTTGCACCATGCAATTCGGAATATTTCCAAATTTGTATAGTGTTGACACTTTCTTTCCAATTCCAGTCAACACTTGAGCCGGGTCTAGGAATCTCCTCTTCATCAGTATCAGATATAATGAATCTTCATGCAAGATTCACCACTGGCGCAATCACGCTGTTGTCATCAGAATTTTCATCACTTATGATGACTCGTTCTTCTACTTTTTTACTGCTCTCACTTCGACGCGAACCACGTGCTTTTTTACCACTTTTGCTTCTTTTGTTATACATTATGATGGGGTTGGCAAAATTACAAATAATGCAGAATAGGATGTTTTGCGAAGAAGGCTGTTTGACACGTATACTCCTCGTAGAACGGAATCGTACAAACTGAAGTACGACCGAAACTTTTTGTATGGTATGATCATGGCATGTAATGGTATGGTATGACTTGGTTTGAATGGGATTAAGACCCGAGATTAAGGTCACGAGTCAGACTCGTGATATTTATGTTTGGCATGAAATGTCGGTAACGAGTCAGACTCGTGATATTTATGTTTGGCATGAAATGTCGATCACGAGTCAGATTTGTGATATTCATGTTTGGCACAAAATTTTCATCACGAGTTAGACTCGTCAAAGTAGTGCAAGGGGTTAATAACATTGGTGCTATAGTTGCGCAACAAGATTAAATCACATTTTCGATTATATCGTTTCTAATAGAAGAGCAACTTCAATGAGGCTTAATGTAAAATTTATTGCGACCCATACCATTTCATCTCCTGCAATTGATTTTTTACATTTTAACTCTGAATTACAAAACAACCAAGAAAAGTGGATGGTGCTATAATTATGCACCGTAGTGTTGATTTCTCAATAATTATTGTAAATGTCACGGGTATGAGCGTGACGCGATTATAATCATCGCTGCAAGAAACATAGGCTTTTATGGCCAATACTGCCTTTATACTTTTACAGACGTAGTCTTCAATCTAAATAAAATATTTAGAACTTTTGGAAATATTGGGATTTTTTAAGAAACTAAGAAAATAGAATTAAATTAAATTATCTTTTAACAATATTGGCCATAAAAGCCTATGTTTCTTGCAGCGATGATTATAATCGCGTCACGCTCATACCCGTGACATTTACAATAATTATTGAGAAATCAATAAACGGCATATGAAGAGGTATAAAATTTCCGAAATATTGTAAAAGATTGTAAAAATGATGATAGAATATTGTAAAAGATTGTAAAAATAATGATATTTTTAATAAAAATTTTGTTTATCCCTCTTCACAGGTGATTTTAAATTATATATCTAATAAAGATTGCCACAAACAACAAATTCCAAAAACACGTATCCTCTATTTTTGTCCATAGTTTACGTACACGAAGTTGCAAAAAAATAGATCAACATTTAGTATAACAATTATAAGTTTTCAAAATATTATTTAAACAAGGTTTATTAAAATTTTTTTACGCGTAAAAATTCTCTATTTGTAGACCAACAATTTACAAAGCATCCAATTATCTCCTTTAATTCCGGAGATATTCCTAAAAATATGAATTCAGCCCTTAATTTTGAGGGCTCTTTTCACCCCTTCAATGTGAACGATGGCTGATAAAAAAATAAACCTGTCAAATATTTTCTTGAACTATCTTTCACATAAGTTATGTGTCCCGGTTCGATATGTTTCCTTGCTAGTTATATTGTGCTCGCAATTATACTTTAGCGACCGTGCTTCAAAAATGCAACACATTATTGACGTACTAGGAATGATGCGAAATTGATGAAAAGCTTTCATTATGGTAAAAACGGTCGTATTTTAAACTAACATAAATGCGATACTCAGTTGGATGCCTTTCATTCGCGATTCGATAAAATTTTCAATAAAATTTTATATTTTTTCCAGGTGTTGCAGATCCACAATATGCTAGGGAAAGGTTACCGATCAGAGGTAAGTTCCGTTTCCTTAGTCATTAAATTATGAATACTTTCAACGGCTAATGGCAGTTAATCATTACTTTAAAATTTCAATAGAAATATTTTCATATAAAAGATAGTACATGTATACATATAGTGTATTGTAATTGTTGAAAATGGCTGCTAATATTTAAACTATTTTTATACATTTAAATTCAATGTTTCAATGACACATTATTTGAAAATTCGTGTAAATAAACTCGAGACTTTCGATTTCATTAGTTTACCAACACCTGGACACTATTGAAGAATTGTAACTTTTGAAGATCTTATTAGATTATCAAAATTAATCCAAAACTGTTACAGAACTATTCATTTTTTCTATTTGGATAAGTTTTCTTAAGTCAGTGTTCAAAGAATGAATTATTACTCACAATGTAAAACATTACTTATACATAGTAGCAGTTTCAAGAACTTTGCTTGGGAGGAGTAAAACGCTTAACTGTATGTCTTTAACCCTTTCGCTACGGCAGGCCTGTCCGCCGAAGTACCGTCACTGAACAGAACGCTCATACCCAAAAGTCGTGGCGTGGATGCCGCGTATATGCGGCGGCCTTACCCACAGGTCGTCGAGTGGATGCCGCATATATGCGGCGCTCGGCGCGAAAGGGTTAAACCGTTTTTACTTCTGCATCCTCCTGTAATTTGCTTATCACGCATCTTTAATATCTTTATTCGTTAAAACAAATAACGTTAACAATCTAAATAATCTAAATTACGAAATAAACTAATAATGATAAAATGTGTAATTAAATAATTTTGCTTCAAAAAACATAACAAAATATACTAGTAAAAGTGTCTTTTGCAATACAATTTCTTTGCTTGAGTTATATTTAATATTTGTAAAGTATTGAGAAGTTTTTATAATGAGACAGTACTACGATTCGCACTTCAAGTTAGAGTTTCAGCTATTTGACACCGACTTAAACGAAGTCAGTTGAAGTAATAAAAAGTGGATGATTCAAGTTGTAATTTACTTTTCGCACATTCGTGCCGGATAAACTTCTGCAATGTTGTGAAAATTTAAAGACTGACTGTATCGCGACGAACTCTACGATTAAAGTCGCATTTCGGTAGTGTTTGATTTTCATTAGATTGAACAATACAATCGGGAAAACGAAGATGAGCGTATAACGAAGTGCAAAATCTTAGCCAAGTTCACTGCACAGGTCGCAAAAACAAAGTTAACTGCACAAGCCGTAAAAACGAAGTGCAAAATTTTAACGAAGATGACCGTACAAGTCGTAAAAACGAAGTGGCCTGTACGAATCGAAAAAACGAAGTGCGGGCCTTGAAGTCCTCGCTCATTTTATTGTATTATGCATTCTCCTACGATGTCTCCTAGCAATCAAACCGATTTCTTCAAAAATCGGCGGTGCGCCCTCTGCCAATCTTTGTTTCGCAGCCACCCCTCTACGGTCAAACCGCCAAATCTTATGATGCTGCTAGCCCTCTGCAGCCGAATCGCCGTGCCGCACAGTGGGCCAGTGCGACGAATTAGCTGTTCACGACCAATTGTAGCGTTATTTCTAGACTTGAAATAGCGTTATTTCAAGACTTGAAACGAAAGTATAGCGGCCGCTGCGTCGTTCCAGCATTTAAAACAAGTATTATTATTACATTAAATCATACCGGATTATTTTCTTGCCGAAAAAATTAATTATATTAGATATTAGCGAAAAATTGTTGAAAAGTTTTGAAATCAACTTTGGACGATTTTAATGTCCTTTTAATATGTTATCAGGGGCACGATTCTGAACAACTTTTTCCTTATCCGCAATTAAGGGGAAGTTTTAGTTTTCGAGTTATTAGCGAAAAACTATTGTTACTAATATATGTATTGAATTCTACGTATGCCTCCGTGCCTCTGGTGGTGTATGAGTCAACATGCAGTCGCCGATTTTCTACTGTTTCTACAAACACGTCTTGTCGGCCGAAAATCAGTATACATGTATAATAACTATTATTATTGCAAAATCCTATTCTTTAGTATTGTTATGTAAGAAATGTCTCGCAGTATCCTATACAATTCTCCCCATTCCACTAAAAAGCGTGAAATAAAATAATTTTAAGAAAAAAAATACGCCGACTTCGAAATGCACTAAAAAATATAAAATAATTTCTATTTGCTAATGAAGTAATTTCTATTTCATTTAATCATACAATTACGTCACAGATATGAATGAAACCTATTTACTCGTTAGGTAGTATATTAAATACATTTCAACCGTTTTGGAGGCGGCGCAAAATTAAAAATACCTCAGTAAACGTCGCTGCCAATAACCAGTTGATTGTGGTATGGCGTATTG